TATAGAAAAGAAAGAAAGTCCGGGAAAGTGAGATAGCCATCATAAGATTAGCCTAAACAAAGAAAGTCCAGGAAAGTAAGACAACCATCTTAAGCTAGCCTCAGGCTGTTCCTCTTGGAAGACCTAAAAGAACAATACATTATCTGACTTCTATTGTTAAAGTTAAAGGTTAGGATAAACAGAGGAGTAAAACCTTTCTCTTCTATGTACTCAATTAAATTTCCAAGAAACTGGCTTCATGACTGTTTTCTTATGGTTTTGGAGACCCTGCAGTTACGATGGAGTATTTTACTCAACATCATTAAAATGGAGTTTTTTCTTTTTATTCACATCAACCTTTGAGTCATGTCCTCTGCACAGATGGGCTGTTTCAACCCTTATCTGACAGGCTGACTTGACTGCACAGTTGGGGTTCCCTGTAGGAGGTTTTTACGCCTGGCCTGCAGACCCCCACCGTGTTTTCCCAGGTCACTTAGGGCTTCGACAAAAGCGCATAATACTCACAAGTCTTTTCACTCAGTTTCTGGAATTAAAAGAACACATTTCATTTAATTTTTGTGGGGGTTTACCCCACAGCTCACCCCATGAGCAGATGATGTGGCTCAGTCTGCACCTGGGATATGTTCATAACTGATGCCATACTCACAGGCAAAGCAGACATTTTGACCACATGACACATTGTATCCAAGAGAAGAGAAAGAGATGCTGTAATGACTCTGAGCTCTGCAATCCAGTCTTTCAAGGCTTAGGTTGCAGCTTCAACCTCATGCATACCCTGGGGTCTAGAGAAGGCTATCTGTTGGCTTCAGAGTTACACTGAATGTACCAAGGAGATTGGTGGTGGGAACAGACATCTGTGATTCAGGACACCCAGGTGGCACCCAAAGATGGTCAGACTGAGGAGGCAACCCCTCCCCTGCAGGTCCCAGCCTGTGGGAAAATAGCAGAGTGAGAAGGTGCACACCATCATCACCATGGGCCCCATGGGTGGTGACAGCACAGCTGGAGGAGGGGCATTGTGAGAGCCACAGAGGCTGTGAGATGTGATGAGAACTGAAGTGATGAAATCAGGTAAGGAAAGTGTGGTCATCTGGGCATGGCCTGTGCTCTGGGGATTGAAGAGCAGAAAGGGAGACACAGACAGCTAATGAGGGAAAGGGTCTGCTTAGGGGGTATCAGTGCAGATCCTGTCCTGCCACTTGGGGTTCAAGAGCATGTTCTCAGCCTGGGAACCACATCTTGATCTTGAAACCAGATACCCTTGAGCAGGGGAAGGCACAAACTTTACCCTCAGAAATATGTTGCACCATGTGGGATGTGAAAACCCCCTTCACCAAATTACTCCTACAGACAGTTCACATGGAGGAGGCCCTAGGGATACGTGCATTTCCAACATGTGGACTTCTCCAGACAGGTTGGTAGTTAGGAACCTGCTGGTTGAAACAGTTCAGCCACAGCCACATAGCCAGGGGGATATGTTAATCAGTTAAATGTAAGCATTCTGCACTGTATATCAAATAGCACATTGTACCTCATAAATAAAGCACATAGTTATGATTTAATAAGAAAAAAATGTTCCAAAAAAAAAGGGCTGAAATGAGAGGGTTTCACAATTCTCATGCATATTAGTATCTGAGAGTCCTTCATGCTTACATGAAATGTGTCATTTGCATCAACTTGTCTCTGTCTCAAAAATAAAAATCATAAACTCAGCCCAACATGGTGGCTTACACCTATAATCTCAGCACTCTAGGAGGCCAAAGCAAATGGATCACTTGAGCTCAGAAGTTTGAGACCAGCCTAAGAAAGAATGAGACCCCTGTCTCTAATGAGGTGAAAGCTATGTTGATTGATTTAATGTAACCATGTCAGATTGTATAAAAAAAATCAGCACACTGTACCCCACATATGCATGAATGTATTCATGATCTACGTGTATTTGACTTAATAATAAAAACTAACTGAGCATGCTAGGTGCCTGTGGTCCCAGCCACCAGGAAGGCAGAGGCAAGAGGATCACTTGAGCCCAAATATTTGAGGTTGCTGTGAGCTATGATACTACAGAACTCTACAGAGTGAGACTCTGCCTCAAAAAAAAAAAGTAATAGATGTCTATATTGGGAGGATTATGATTAAATACATAATAAACATGAAAGCAAACAAGAGTGATTGTCTGTTTTCATAGATCTTACTAAAGAACAATTTTTAATCAAATACAGAGCTGAAAAGAAGAAAACACTTAGCATTAGTAAGATGCTCTTTTTGTTACAACTGTGTTTGGACATTCTAAATTTAAAATTCCACCAACTTGGAGGCTATGGATGCTTCTCCCCAGAAAATTTTGACATAAAGAAGAGATTAATAGGGATTAAAATAGCCTTTATACAAATAGCCTTTGTATATGTCTACTGTACAAAATATTAGAACATGCACTTTGACATATCTATTTTTATTTTTTTATTCTTTTTTAATTAACCAAGTGATCATTAAATTTTGTATAAATTTTGAAATGGGAGATATCTAGAAATAAGGTATGATTTTTTTAATAAGGTATGAAGTTTCAAACAGAAAGAAAACTGCACAAATTACCAAAACAAATTGGTAAATCAAACTCCATCAAAATTAAAAACTAGAGGAGGAGGGGAAAGATGGCCAACAGGCACTGGTCTCCAACAGAAGCTCTCATCCAGAGGGAAGGATAATGTCCAGAAAATACCCAATAAAGTTGAAGATTGGGAGCCCAGCCAAGAGAGAAGAGTGATATCTGCAAGAAACCTCTGCTGAGGCAAGTTGAGACTCCAAGAAAGCAATTTCCAAGTACATAATACATCCCAAAGGAAAAGCATCCAACCCCTCCCACAAGAAAGTTGTGGTATTCTCTTCGTCTGCTCCTGTAAGTTTTCTAGAAGTGAGCAGTGAACTTAGGACCTATTATCTCACCCCACGTGTGAGAACCACAGGAAGGGGGGTCTACTCCCCTAGAGGGACCCTGCTGAGATTCTGAACACTTTCTCACCTGGCAAAAAAAAACTGAACAAATGCTTTCACTGCCATTTTGAATTTCCAGTCCACCCTTCCCCCCTTGCCTACAGAGAGAGTGAGGGGGGGAAGGGGCAGTGTCCCCAACCTCTGTGAGACCAAGCACCCAGTCCCAGTACTGCAGCCAGAGACCTGCTGGATCCATGTGCATTCCATGGGCAGTGGTGGAGGTGTCCCCCATTCCAGGCACCCACACAAGCCCCAGAACTGCTTGCTAGAACTGCATGCACCTGTGGGTGGTGGTGGAGGAGTCCACTGGTCCAGGTGGGCCCATAACAGCTTTCTAGAGCCACGCACACCCATGGGAGCCACAGAGGAATCCCCCACTCCAAGAAGGCCCAGAACTGCTTGCTAGAGCCATGTGCGCCCCACAAGCAGCAACGAAGGAATCCCCCACTCCACACTCCCACTCCAGGCGGGCCCAGATCTGCTTGCTAGAGCCATGCATGCCCCGCAGGGGCTGGTGAAGGAGTCCCCTGCTCCAGGGGGCCCAGAACTGCTTGCTAGAGTGACACGCCTCCCATGGGTGGCAGCAGACGAGTCCCTACTCCAGGCAGGTCGAGAACTGCTTGCTAGAGCCACGCTGTGGGCAGTGGTGGAAGAGATTCCCCGCTTCAGGCTCCTGCACTGGGCAGGCACAGAACTGCCTGCTAGAGCCACACCCACCCCGTGGGCGGCGGCAGAGGACTCCTTCCCCCACTCCAGGCAGGCCTAGAACTACTTGCTACAGCCTCACGTGCCCTGTGGGGGACTGTGGAGGAATCCTTCACTCCAGATGGGCCCAGAACTGCTTGCTAGAGCTTCATGCATTGCATGGGCAGTGGCAGCAGAGGAGTCCCCATTCTGGGTGGGCCCAGAACTGCCTGATAGAGCCACACACGCCCCACAGGCTGTGCAGAGGAGTTCCCTGCTCCAGGCACCTGTGCCCAGCAGGCCCATAACTGGCAGAGCTGTATGCTCCCAGCATCCCTGGCCAGCCACCCAAAAACTACGAGAGGATGGTCAGTTGAGAGGGAACCATACTAGAATGGCAGTACCTCAAGGCAAAGAGCAGCAGCCACAGCAGTGGGGAACAACAAGGCTCACACCCCTGAGGTTCTTCTGGACAGACATGCTCTGCCTCTCTAGGCAAGCAGAGGAAGCCGGCATCTTCTCTGATGGAGGCCACTGACTGAATGGTTCTGGTACGGTCTCCACACAGTGTAAATTCAGCATGGGCGTAATCAGTGGGAAAACTCTGGTAATTCAAATAACCAGAGTAGATCAACTTCCCCAAGGAAAAATGGGGCAGATGCAATTGAAGATCCCATCCATAAACAGATGGATGAGATGTCAGAAATTGAGTTCAGAATTTGGATAGCAAATAAAGTTAGCATAATGGAAGAAAGGAGGGAATTAGAATTTCAAGGAATTATTCAAAAGATGTCTCAAGAAATTATTCAAAAGATGTCTCAAGAATTCAACGATTTCAAAGATAAAATGACCAAAGATTTTGAAACACTGAGACAAGAGGTTGCAGCCCTCAAAGATCTGAAAAATACAGTAGAATCCCTCAGTACAGAATGAAGCAGGCTGAAGAAAGATCTCTGGCATTGAAGGCAAACCTTCTGAATGCACCCAAGTGAGCAAGGATGAAAAGAAATGGAGAGCAAAAACGGATCACTCTCTCAGAGAGCTCTGGGAAAATTCAAAGGAAACTAATATTTGTCTTAGAGGAATCCATGAAGATGACGAAGTTGCTTCACAAATCACAGAGGCTCTATTTCATGAAATTATGAAAGAGAACTGAAATTCAGATAGCAGACAGTTTCAGAACCCCAGCACAACTCAACTCGAACAACACATCCTCCAGGTGTATCATAATTATCTTTACTAAAGTTAATATGAAAGGGAAAATTTTGAAAGCAGCTAGACATAAGAAAACCATAAACTACAAGGGGAAGAATATAAGAATGACTGAAGCTCTCTCTGCTGAAACCTTTCAGGCTAGAAGAGGGTGGTCATCAACTTTTAACCTCCTAAAACAAAATAACTTTCAACCCAGGATCCTGTATCCAGCTAAACTGAGTTTCATTTATGATGGAGAAATTAAATACTTTTATGACATTCACACATTGAAGAAATTTGCTATAACCAAACCAGCCCTTCAGGATATTCTCAGACCTATCCTCCATAATGACCACTGCAATCCTCCACCACATAAGTAAACTCACATAGAATATTTTGATCAAATTCCAACTTCCACAGTGGCAAAAGGATTAAAGATGTCCACTGGACTTTCAAAAAACTCGATACCCAGAATTATACCACATTTATCAATATTCTCAATCAATGTGAATGGCTTAAATTGCCCTCTAAAGAGGCACGGGCTGGCTGACTGGATACAAAAACTCAGGCCAGATATCTGCCTCATACAAGAATCCCATCTTACCCTAAAAGACATATATAGACTCAGAGTGAAGGGATGGTCATCTAAATTCCAGG